CGTCGTGGAGGAGGCGGAGCGCGTCGAGCTGAACGCGCTGAACGAGACCTTGTGGCCGGCGGCGCGCGGCGCGGCGCGGCGTCTCGTGCGCTACAGGGCACCTCTGCACCTCTTCTTCTCGTTCTCCTCCTCGTCCTCCTCCTCCTCCTCCTCCTCCTCCTCCTCTTCCTCTTCCTCTTCCTCCTCCTCCTCCTCCTCCTCCTCCTCCTCGACTTCCCCCTCCTCCCCTCTCTCTCTGTCCCCTCTCTCTTCCCCCCTCCCTGCTCCGTCTCCCTCCTGGAATTCTGTTCTGTGGGGGGCGGGATGGCCCCGCAGGACGGGCGCATTGGATTGCGATGATACAGCTCTTGGCACACTCCCCCAGCTGAAGCCTGCATGACAAGCTCTTTCGTGGACACCCGACCGACCGACTCCTCTTCCTCCTCCTCCTCCTCCTCCTCATCCTTCTCCTCCTCCTCCTCCTCCTCCTCCTCCTTCTCCTCCCCCTCCTTCTCCTCCTCCTCCTCCTCCTCCTTGTCCTCCTCCTCCCATCCTTCTCCTCCTCCTCCTCCTCCTCCTCCTGCTCCTCCTGCTCCTCCTCCTCCCCCGCTCCTCCGCCTCCTCCTTTTGTTCCTCATCCTCCGTCATTCCTTCGCCTGCCTCGCCCCCTCGCTTGGGGCACGTGCAGCCAAAGATCAGTCAACCAAATGGTGCACCCAGATCTCCGACGTATTGAAAGAACAATGCGGAATTGTTTCGCCGTTTTCTGCCTGTTGGGGCCCTCGCCGGGCCCAGGGACAGTCAGAAAAACATGCTTAAACTTATAGCCGACCCCTGGGAAAAGGGTCTGGACTTCCGGGGGGGCGTTTGTCAAACATCAATACGTCGGGCCTCTGAGTAGAAGGACGCAAACACCTAGAAAGCGCCAGGATGCCAGGGTACGCTTGGACCGAGGTGGCACAAAGCAGGGAACGGATGGTCAGAATCGAGGGGTGCAAGGGTACCTTGCCTCAGCGGCAGATCGGGGCGTCGTGAACCAACAACCAAGTACTCGTCGTTCATTTCTAACCGTGCTCAGTTCTAATTGTGCTAGTTTCTCACTGTTCCTGGCCCCCCAGTGGCCAGGAAGATGCCCAGGATAGAACAAGTAGGAAGGAAAGGATCTCGGCCCCTCCAGAAACAATCAAAGAACTTTCGAATACTCAGACATGAAAAAATGTGTACTCCTGTAGAGACTTTCGGGCTTCCTCCTCCTCCTCCTCCTCCTTCTCCTCCTCCTCCTCCTCCTCCTCCTCCGCCTCCTCCTCCAAAGGGGCTTCCCATCGGTCGCGCGCCGTCGGGAGGCCGCTCTGGGAGGCCGGAGCCGCCCCGAGCGGCCCGGCAGAACCAGGCGGAGGGAGCGGCCCTGACGTCTGGCCGTCGTGCCGTTGGTGCGCCACCGTGCCTGCACAGTGTGAAGGGGCCCCAGGACACACAAATAAGTTAACTACACACAAACTAAAATATTCTCCATACTTTCTCATATTTTCTGGGTTTCTGTCTTCCCCCCCGCTTCCCATCTTTTCCCCAATTTTCGGGGGAATCGACGATTAATTGTGTCTGTGTGTTTTTTCCTCTCCTGAGTGCTAGCATGCCAAATGCTGCCTGGTACAGTCAACCAGGATCATAAGGATGCGCGACAAGGGTGCAGGGGCCTCGGCCGCCCATTTCGAGGCCATTCGAGCGGGGCGCGGCCAACGAAAGTGTCCAAGGATGGACCCGGGAGGCAAGGATGCAAGGGTACCCTTTGGAGGGATGCCTATCGTTACGATGCGGGTCGACTGTAGGGCTTCTGTATTCTAATCAGGCCCCCCCTCTCATAGCCGAGTGCTGCGTGCCCCCTTCCCCTCCCGAGGCCACGATCCGTCTTAGAAAGCGAGAGATCCGCGGTCCCAAGATCACATCCGTTCGTGAAAACGACGCACCCGCGCCCCAAGCTGCCAAGACGGCCGATGCGATGCGGGCAGCCAGGGGCACCAAGATGGCCCACGATGCCTCGAAGACTGCCCAATATGGCTCTTGCAGGGCCCTGAAGGGCCACAAGAGGACCTCCAACAGAGTCCGAAGAAGTCAAATTCATTGATCTCCTATGGTTTTCTGAATGGTGATCACACTCTCGGATTTTCGGGCTTCCGTCAGCTCAGGACGGCCCAAGAAGCTTCCACGATGGCCCCAAGACGGCCCAGGAAACCACCACGAGGGTTCAAAGGTGGCCCAAGATGACCCCGCGAGGGCCTAAGAGGCATCCGAGACGGCCCCAAGACAGCCCAACAGGGCCTCCCGTGGGACCCAACACGGCCGTGGAAGGCCCTTCGACTGCCCAAGACGCCGCCCAGACGGTCCAACGTTGGCCCCGAAATGCCCACTATACGGCCAAGAGGGCCCCAATGCGGCACACGAAAGCCCCTCGGTTCGCGAGGCCACCCTCCTGCCGCGAAGCTCGCGCAAAACACCCTCTTGAAACCCGTGTGGGCTATGTGCGCGTGCGTACGGCAGGTTCGTGTCGTGCCGACTTCGGCGTTGGTTCCTGACACCACGGAGACCGTTCAACCTTGCACGATCGGCCGCTTCCCAGACCTCCGATCGTTCGACATCGACCGACTCTGGGTCGCTGGCGGCGTTCAGCATGCAACGCTAGCGGCGGAGTCGCCGCCGGTCGACACGACGGCGGAGTCGCCGCGGAACAAGTTGCGGAATGAGAGTTCTGCGGGAGAGGTGAAGAGAAGAGGAGGAAGAGGAGGCAGAGGGGGAGGAGGAGGATGAGTGCGGATGAGTGCGGGCCAAAACGGATCACGACCGGCCTACGCTTTCGTGCCGTGGGAGCGTCGGGCCGCTTCGGGCCGTCCCCGAGCCAGACCCTCAGCTCCAAGAGCCCCTACAGGGGCTGGTTTGTGGAAGGGTGCTGTCCATTCCACAACCGTGTCAGCCAACCCCCGATCACCCTTTGGGCCCCATGGCTGCGTGGGGAGAATCGGCCCGTCCACCAGTCGCGGGCGTACCTGGCACACTTGCGGCAGAAGACGTGAGTGCTACGGTTCACGATTTTGTGCCCCGCTCTCTGGCCCCTGTCGACCCTGGTGCACCCCCAGTCCAGAGCGGGCCGAGACGGGAGGAGAGCCACCAGGGGCGGGGCGGGGGGTCGGGGGCCGCCAGGGCCCTGCCCCTCACGCTCACGACCGCCCCCAGGTCCCCAGGAAGGTCCAGGAGGACGGAGGGGGGGTCGGGGGGGTTCGAATCCGTCGGACTCGAGCCCTGCTCCGAGTCGACAATGTGACGGCCCAGGCTATCTACATAGGCTCCGAATTCCAGGATGTCCCGAGCCCGCCGATACTTCAGAACGTGGGTTTCTCTACACCAGACTGGCTGGGTATGGTACAGAGCTCCCTGCTTTGCATGGTCAGCTGTTTTGTTGCCCTCCCACTGCGCGCAGCCGATTGCTGCTCGCTCGGTGCGCGTCGCGTGGGCCTTCAGCTCTCGCACCTGCGCGGCGCGTGGGCCCAGGCCTCCGTACTCTGCGATGGCCTGGACGATGCACTCCCAGTGGTCGAGGTGCAGGTGACTCCTCTTGTCGAGCCACGACGGTCCCGCCATCACGCCGTCGACGACGTTCTGGCTGTCGGTGCGGATGAACATGGGCGGGGTGCCTGCCTGCGGCGCCTGCCGCCGCGCGTAGAACTCCACCCGCAAGATGCTCTGGGCCCTCGGCGCGCCAGGGCGGGGCCCGTGGCCCCCGTCATCCATGTCGTACTCGCCGTTGTCCTTGAGCTTGGTGAGGCTGATTCCTCCTCGTCTCAGTGGTGCGTAGTCGCCGAGCTGCCTCGAGCCGCCCAGCTTGTATGTCGCTCCCCCCGCTCTGCGCACGGCTGCCACCCGTGCCTTCTTCTCTGCAAACTTCGGCGTCCGCTTGTTGATTGCGGCCACTCTACTCCGTCTGCATGCTGTTGCAGTCCCTCCCAGGTGCTTCTCGTGCTTGACTACTCTCGCGCCGAGGTGCCTGGTCCTCTTGTTGTTGCGATCTCTCCCCGCGGCGGAGGAGACCAGGGTGACCGTCTTCGCCTCCGTGCCGCTTGAGACCGCCATGTCCAGGGTCGTCTCGAACCTAGAGCTCACGGCCTCGATGGGCTGCGGGTGGTCCTCGCCGACGTGCTCGTGTCTGCAGTGCGTGGCCGCGGCACGGTCCCCGACGTAGAGGCGCGTGCTCGCCCAGAAAACCTGGTACGCCAGCCTGTCCAGCTCGAGGATGATGACCATCTTGCGACCGAGCGGTATGTGCCCGCTGTCCGCCTCGATGTCCGGCTGCCAAGCCTTGCCCTCGGCGTAGCCCCCGTCCAGGACGCTGTGCCGCCCTATGCTGTACATCTTGCGGTCCGTCCGCATGATGCTTGGGTTGGCGCCCCATCGCTGCGACGCCTCCTGTACCTTCCGCTGAGTAACCCACTCGAAGCACTTGATCAGGCCGAAGTAGGTTTTTTTTTGGTGGTGGTGCCCGTCGGCCCGCGCGGCCTCGCAGCAGATGGCCTGTGGCCGTGCCGCGCGTTCCCACGATTTCCCTCGGCGTGCCCAGTCATGGGCTCGCTTGTTGGCCGCCTCCCAACGCCTCGCGTAGGGCATGCGGTTGGTCTCCCACATGGGCTTGGCCACGCTGTCCACGTAGTGCAAGCCTCTCTGGGTGATGTGCTCGGCGTCGATCCAGGCGGCTGTGATCGCCACCCTGCCCCAATCGATGTCCGTGCGTCGCCCCCGCCCCGTCGGTCGGCGGCGCTCTCTTGCCGCTTCCGCCCGACCAACGGGCAGTCCTGCGAAGCCGTGAGGCCGAGGACAGCGGGGGTCCGCCGAGGAGTATTCTCTAGGAGGCTCGTGTTGCCCCCCTCGACTCGGCGTCCTGTGTGGCTTAACTCGTCCAGGTTGTCGGAGTTTTCCTGCTCGTTCATGGCGTCTACGTTGCCCCCCTCCTGACTTGGCACCGCGCGCCATGCTAGACAGTCCCGCTCGAGGAGCGGCTCGATGATGTCCTTCCCAAGGATGCCCTTGGCGTTGTTCTGGGCGCAAGCCAGGTGGCCCTTGCCCTCTTGCCCGTCCTGGCCGACGTAGTTGAGGTACTTGCTCGAGTGCTCCTCGTACGTGTTGCCCATGATGAAGTATTCGCGGTACCGTGCCCCCCCCCCAATGTGACGCACGAGCCGCGCGAAGTGACGAACACGATGACCCCTTCCATCCTGTTGATCACCCCTATGTGCTGTAGCTCTGTTGGGTCCATGTCGGCGCCACCGCCCTGGATCCAGTATTTCCCCGCCCCTGCGGCGGCCGTGGTGAAGTTCCGCGGGATGCCCTCGCTGTCCCAGAGGTAAGCCGTGCCTGCGGTGGCACCCTCCTTGCCGATAGCCTGCATCCTGCCCTTCGCAAGGCGGCCCTTGGACTCGCGGGGCGAGTCGTCCCTCGTGTCGGGCCCCCTGACGTAGCTCATGTTGTTTGGCCGCACGGTCGCCAGGAGCACCTGTGCTTTCCAGCCTCCCCGCGCGGTGCGGACGCTCGGCACGGTGCCCAGCCTCCAGCCCTCCTTCTGCATCCGTTGGTTGACGCAGGAGATGCTGTGCTCGTTGGCCTGCAGCTCCTTCGCCATGACTGTGTGATACTTGTGCGTGTACCTGGTGGCCCGCATGGTGCGCTCCAGCGTGCCAGTGGGGTTCGCGCTGATTGCGCAGAACCCCTGCCCTCGCTCTTTGTCAGGATGACGGCGGGGCCGTCCACATACTCTTGCTGATGGTGAGCGAGGTGTCTGGTTGCATGCCAGCCAGCAGAGGAAGAAGATGAGGCCTGTGGCGCTCGATCTGCTCGGCCGTGCAGCCCGCCTCGTGCATGATCTTGGTGATCTGCGCCGCGTCGGCGTTCTGGGGAAACGAGACCTCCCCGCCCGCCCTCCCGTCTCCGCAGGCCTCCGCCGCCCGCCCCCGCCGCCGCTGTCGCGTGCGCGGTCCCCGCCGCCCCCGTCGGCGTCGGGTCCAGTGCCGTGGCCGCCTTCGCCGGCCGTTTCGGTCGCCGTCTTCGTTGCCGCCGCCGCCCGTCGCCGCCGCCCGTCGCCGCCGCCCTTGACGTCGTCGTCGTCGTCGTCGTCGTCGTCGTCGTCGCCGCCGCCCGTCGCCGCCGCCCTTGACGCCGTCGTCGTCGTCGTCGTCGTCGTCGTCGTCGTCGTCGCCGTCGTCGTCGTCGTCGTCGTCGTCGTCGCCGTCGTCGTCGTCGCCGTCGTCGTCGTCGGGAGCGTCGCCGCCGGCGGGGCCTCCGAGGGCGCGGGCGGGCCCCGGGCCGCGCGCTCGAGCTGCACGCCGCGCAGGTTGGCGAAGAGGGTCGACATGCCCCGGCGGCGGCACGCTGCGCGGAGGGGCGTGGCCGTCGTGGTGCGTCGCCGTCGTGGTCGTCGTCGTCGTGGTCGTCGTCGTCGTTGTCGTGGTCGTCGTCGTCGTCGTCGTCGAGGTCGTCGTGGTCGTCGTGTCGTGGTCGTCGAGGTCGTCGTCGTCGTCGTAGTCGTGGTCGTCGTGGTCGTCGTCGTCGTCGTAGTCGTCGTGGTCGTCGTGGTCGTCGTCGTCGTGGTCGTCGTGGTCGTCGTGGTCGTGGTCGCAATGGTCGTCGTCGTACCCCTCCTGCGCGGGATAGCCGCCCTGGCCACCCCTGCTCCTCCTCCTCCTCCTCCTCCTCCTCCTCCTCCTCCTCTTGCTCCTGCTCCTCCTTTCCGCCTCCTCCTCCTCCTTCTCTCCTCTTTCTCTTGCTTCTCCTTCTCTCCCTCCTCCTCCTCCCGTTTCTCCTCTTCCTCCTCACCCCTCCTAATACATAGCTCTTCCATTTCTCATCCGTGGGTAGGGCGGGTCGGGCGTTTCGCTTGAGACTTCCTTATCCTCAAGGTTGAAATCTGCAAAAGGCTGAAGGTTGAAGGGTTCGAGCCCAAGAGCGCCCAATAACGCTCCAGCAGCGCTCCAAGAGCGCCCCAAGAGGCGATCTTTGGGGCTCCCGAGGGGGGGCCCTGATGAAGGACCCCCCTTCTTTGATTGATCTCCTACAGGATGGTCCCAAGAGCGCCCCTGAGGCTCCAAAGGGCGCCCCAAAAGGGCCCCAAGAGTCGCCCAAACGGATGCAAGAGTTGCTCAACATCCTCGTTGTCCTCGTCGTCGCCGTCTTCAGGGTCGGCGTACCGGCCGTCAGGCCTGCGCAATAGGTCCTCCTTTTCTCAGCCCCAAACGTGTCGGCAGGACGGGTCGGGTGTTTCGCTTGAGACTCTCTATTCCTCAAGCTTGCAGTCCGCAAAAGGCTGAAGATTAAAGGGCGGAGGATAGCGCCACGCACATGCGTCTTCAACATGTGCTGTCGTCTCAAGGATGGAGGGCGGCTGGCTTTCAAAATGTAGCTCTCGCCTTGGCGCCGCGCACACTCGTTTCAAACACAACAATTCATCAGCTGGATGGCGGCTCCTTTTCAAAATGTGGCTCTCGCCTTGACACGCCTTGCACACTCGACTCAAATGTATGCAACAGTTTCAAGTGTTGACGACCCAAGAATGGCGTTCTGGAATTAGTTTGAACTGTCATGACACAACCAGCACATTGATTCGCGGCAGTGAAGTCACACACACACACACCGGGTCTTGGCACGATAGAAGAATTCGAGACGGTTGTTTTTCAACCGGGCACTCCCCGCAATGAAAACAAATTCTTGCAGGGACCGATGAGGAGGGAACTTGGAGGGAGAGCTCGGCTACACGCAAGATTGGCCCTGGGTAAGAGTGACCGTTGGTGCGCGCCTTTTTGGGGGCCGTGGGGGGACCAAACACGAGCGAGCAAGACGCCACTACCGCACCGCGCTCGGCGATCGGGAGGCCCCAGTGGGCCCGCACCATTCTCAGAAGGCTCGGAAGTCCCACGGCCATCTGAAACGTTTTCCAAGCCTTCCCGGAGAAAACAAGACACTTCTCGGAAGGCCCGAGGGTTTCTGAGAAGCCCCGCCGCCTTCTGAGAGGGCCTCTCCCTTCTCGCTCCCCACCCTCGCTCGCCGCCGATTGTCCTCTCCGTCCCCCGCCGCCCGCCCCCCGGTCCCAAGAGGCGCAAGGCCCCCCCGCCAAACTGGGGAGCCTTGGGCCCGCACCCCCGGCGGGCTTGGCGTGCGGCCCGCGCGCCCTGGCCACTGAACCAGGGATGCAACTTCGGCTCTATCATCCTGCAGCGCGGAGAGCGATTAGCACCGAGGCCACACCCCATCATAGCAGAGTGGTGGGCCGCGCATAACAGCAAAATTCGTCCACGTCTTCAGTCAGTTACTGCACCTCATTCCTCACTCATTCATTCCATCCATTCATTCACTCCTTGGCCAGGAGGAGGAGCCAGGAGGCCCACAGTCGACCCGTAAACGGATGGGACGGGGCCGCGACAGCGGCCAGCGAAAGCGTCGCCTGCAGGCGGCCAGCGAGAGCGGCCAGGGATGGGCCGAATGGGAAGGATGCGAGGGCAACCTTGGTCAGTTGACCATCCTGGCTGTGCGGGCTGACTGTATGTAGGGTCTTGGTCTGTAGCAGAAGAGTATCCACAATCGCCTACCTCAGAAATGATAGGAGCAGCAACGAACACTCTTCACAGGAAACGTTTGGCTGACGACCACTGCAACAACAATCCTTTCAAGACTGTTCGCTCCTATCTGCTCGCGTGCCACTCAAGGCGTGTACCCTACATTACCTGTACGTGCCCTCTTTGTGTTCGATCGCGCCCTTTTGGGTGTAAGTGTTCCTTATATGCCATGTGTATTTAAAGCAACCCCTACGGCAGGGGACGAGAGAACGGATGCAAGAGGGAGGGAGACGGATGGAGCAAGGAGGAGAAAGCACGTGGCACAGCCAGACGAGCAGATCGGGTGGGGAGACACTAACGGGCGGGTCGGGAAGGCAGGACCAGGCGGCCAGGTCGAGCAGGCGGGTTGCTGAAGCGTGAGTCGTGCATGAATAGCGAGAAGGTCTCGAGCGAAAGCGGGATTCCCAAGTAAATCGCAAGAAAGGCATAAGCGAGAGCGCGATTTTTCAGTGTCGAGGGCGCGGCGTCTGAGTAATTTGTGAGGAAGTTCCATGCGAGAGCGCGATGCCTCCACACACTGTGAAGACATCCCATCCGAAAACGCGATATAGAAATAGTTTGTGAGGAAGAAACGAGGGAACCGCTGTTGCTGTTAACCGGGGGCCAGGGGCACAATCTGAACCCAGGGCTTCCTACTCTGGGCAAGAAAAAGGTGAGAGCCCCGGGAGGAGCACATGAATTGAAAACACACATTGGGCACCAGAGGGGTCAACAACAAATCATATTCAACCAGAAAGCTCCACCACGACACCAGCAAGAACAACAACAAGTCACCACTACTACTACTACTACTACGACTACGACTACTACTATTACTACTACTACTACTACTTCAAATTCTACTTCTCTACTCCCACTACTCCTACTCCTACTCCTACTCCCACTCCTACTACTACTACTACTACGACGACTACTACTACTACTACTACTACTACGACGACTACTACTACTACTACTTCTACTACTACTACTACTACTACTACTACTACTACTGCTACTACTGCTACTACTACGGCTACTACATCTACTACTACGGCTACTACTACTACTACTACTACTACTACTACCACCTCTACTACTACTACTACTACTACTACTACTACTACTACTACTACTATTACTAATACTACTATTACGACTACTACTACTACTACTACTGCTGCTACTACTACTACTACTACTGCTTCTACTACTACTGCTACTACTACTACTTTGCCTACTACTACTACTACTACTACTACTACTACTACTACTACTACTACTACTACTTTTAGTACTACGACGATGGCTGCTACTACTACAACTACTGCTACTACCACTACGACTACTACTACCACTACTACAACTACTACTACCACTGCTATCTCTTCTGCTACTAC